TCATTTCGTCTTGCGTGCAACAAGGAGAACACTCTTTCTGTTGGAAATCTAGTCAAAATTACAATACAATTTCGTGGTGTCTCTCAGGTTTTGAAACCCATGACACGGACCATGTCATTCGAATTTGCATAACTAAATAAGCAAAAAATACATTTTGAAGAAATTTAGGATGCTAAAAAAAGACGTATATGTATACCCTGTCACTTTCATACACATTGTTGCAGGTACCCCAGTTAGGTATGTACCATGTATGGCTATAATCACTAGCTTAAAATTCTATCAAACCAGTTGTTGTGACAGCCCATTTAGTCAGTAAAAATAAGACTTCTTCGTCGACTTGACTTCTTGTTTTTTGAAGTTTTTAGTTTTCTACCAAAGCTTTCAGTTCATTTTTCTGCGATTTAATGTTTTGACTGACTTGTAACACGGTACGTCTCTGATAGATATGCGATAATCCTTGGCCTCAATATACTTTTTCTATGCTATTTGTATATACCCTTGAAAGCTCTGGTCATAGTCTTTTCTACTGTATTTACGAAAAGCTACGAAGATTTGTCCTAAATAATTGTTTAAATGATCAAAACAGTACTTTTTAATACTGCATCTATCACGTTTGTTGTTGACATTGCGAATATCTCGTACATTTGTTCTGCTGTTAGAACGTATCATTTGTGATCCAGAAAACGCGTCCTTTTCGTTAATTTTATAATCTCTACTTTCAAATAAACGAAAAAGCTTGTTTAGTTCATCCACTAACTATTCTAATAAACTATCTTTAAATCGTATGCAACGTGAGGTTACATTGCTTGTTCACAAAGTAGTTCCCAATAAACAATACTATTTTAGACAACACGTATCATGCAGTATAAAAACATGTAGTGTGAAAAAAATACTGCACCATTTTGACAATGTAACGTTAACTGAGAAAACCAAACGTACTGAAGCTATTTATTAGTGCTTTGTTGGGATTCATATATCTGTCTATATGATTATTGAGTGCTTGGCTGCAATTCCGGTAGCTATCTGTATGATTTTATTAGTGCTTCACTTAGTGCTTCTCTGGGATTGCAGTAGCTATATGTGAGATTTGTAGTGCTTCTCTGAGATTTCAGTAGCTATATGTGAGATTTGTAGTGCTTCTCTGAGATTTCAGTAGCTATATGTGAGATTTGTAGTGCTTCTCTGAGATTTCAGTAGCTATATGTGAGATTTGTAGTGCTTCTCTGAGATTTCAGTAGCTATCTGTAAGATTTATAGTGCTTCTCTGAGATTTCAGTAGCTATATGTGAGATTTATAGTGCTTCTCTGAGATTTCAGTAGCTATATGTGAGATTTGTAGTGCTTCTCTGAGATTTCAGTAGCTATATGTAAGATTTGTAGTGCTTCTCTGAGATTTCAGTAGCTATATGTGAGATTTGTAGTGCTTCTCTGAGATTTCAGTAGCTATATGTGAGATTTGTAGTGCTTCTCTGAGATTTCAGTAGCTATATGTGAGATTTGTAGTGCTTCTCTGAGATTTCAGTAGCTATATGTGAGATTTGTAGTGCTTCTCTGAGATTTCAGTAGCTATATGTGAGATTTGTAGTGCTTCTCTGAGATTTCAGTAGCTATCTGTAAGATTTATAGTGCTTCTCTGAGATTTCAGTAGCTATATGTGAGATTTATAGTGCTTCTCTGAGATTTCAGTAGCTATATGTGAGATTTGTAGTGCTTCTCTGAGATTTCAGTAGCTATATGTAAGATTTGTAGTGCTTCTCTGAGATTTCAGTAGCTATATGTGAGATTTGTAGTGCTTCGTTGGTATTCATATATCCATCCTTGGAATTCTTGGTGCTTTGCTGGGATCCATATAGCCATATACAAGACTCTTTAGTGTTTTGCTGGGATTCATATAGCTTTCTATAGGATTCTAGTGTTTTGCTGGATTCATGTAGCTATCTACAAGACTCTTTAGTGCTTTGCTGGATTAATCCAGATTTCTACAGGACTCTATAGTGCTTTGCTGGGTTTAATATTGCTTTCTACAGGACTCGTTAGTGCTTTGTTGGATTCATGTAGCTATCTACAAGACTCTTTAGTACATTGCTGGATTAATATAGCTTCCTACATGACTCTTTAGCGCTTTGCTGGGATTCATATAGCTTTTTACAGGACTCTTTAGTGTTTGGCTGAGATCCATATAGCTATCTACAAGACGCTTTAGTGCTTTCCTGGATTCAAATAGCTTTCTACAGAACTCTTTAATGCTTTTCTGGATTCATATAGCTATCTACAAGACTCGTTCGTGCTTTGTTTGGATTCATTTTAGCAATGTATACTAAAATTCTTATGACATAAGACTTGGAAAAAGATATCTTAAAATTTAACCGAAATCAAAACAGTTACTGAATTATTGTAGCATATATTTAGTACATATTTCTTACAACTGCTCCGGTGGCCTTGTAGTTAAAGCGTCCGCCTCACATGCGGGAGGTCGCGGGTTCGAACCCAGGCTGAGTCATACCAACGACTTTTAAATATGGCAATTACAGCTACCTCGCATGGCGCTCAGCAATAAGAGGTTAGTGTTAGGACTGGTCAGCCTGGTGTCAGTATAATGTGACAGGGTGGGACATCATGCTACATGTCTGCGGCATAATCCTTCAGTGCTATATATCACTATAAACTGTCACACTGCAGACATCGTAGCAATATGACTGAAAAATCGTTAAAACTATGTTAAAAATCTAAATCACACACATACACACACATATATATATATATATATATATATATATATATTAAAGTTTTGTTCAATTGCTGGTAACAAGTCCCTCAAGACAAACTGTATTACGCAATTATATGTAATGACACAAAACTGAAAACAAATTGCATCATGTAGGTCTATAACAAAAATCCCTCAAGGCAAACTTACGTAACTTTGTAATTATACAAGTCCTTTAAGACAAACTGTTATGCAACTATACGTAATTACACAATTCATTCTTAAAGGCAGACTGTATTGCGTAATTATATGTAATTAACCTCACCAGGCGTCAGCTAATAGCTTCCTTCTCGTTGTTCGTATGTAAAATAAGGAGATGAAGAAGTACGGGTTCAAATAAAACAGTTATAGGGAGAAAGAGCAACCAAGAAACCAGCTGTAGGGGAATCGAAAACCCACGTTTTTAGAGAAAGACAAAATCTAGACTGAGAAAAAGGGTATGGGATTTTAATCTCAATGCAATTTAATTTTGTCACTTTTCTCACAATATTATAATGGAAGTCCTATGTTAGTTTAAAATCTCATGATAGTATACAATATTTCTCTAAAGTTTTCATTTTTGTAATCATGGTATGCAATGAAACATAAGGGCAAGAAACGTCAGTCAGTTTTGCAAGTACACAATGTTTTGGACAAGATAGTATGTTCATTTAAAAGCACAAAATAACAAAATAAATTCAATTAATGAATCATCATCATCATCATCATTATCATCATCAATTTAAACCCAAGAGGTCGTTGGGGTACCATAGATAACTTTACATCCAATTCTCTCCATATTTCCCAGTTCTCTACCTTCATCTGGGAATCTCCAAAACCAATGCCTGTCTACTCCGTAATGCCTTTCCACCTATTTTTCTGTGTGCCTCTTCTTCTGCACCCTCGCACTGTTTTGCAAGATTGTTTTTGCTAATCCAGTTGAACTTGAGGCATGACCATACCACTTCAGTTTATGCTTTTTTAGTGGTCAAGAGATCTTTATAGGATCCGATGGATCGTTGGATCCTGTTATGGACTTCTTCGTTGATTACATGATCAATATATGAGATGCGCAAGATCTTACGGTAGCATCTAATCTAGAACGTTTTAATCCTTCTTTGTATATCTTAAGTGAGCCTCCATGGTTCACAAGCATACAGAAAGTGGATATGACATTTGATCGCATCGGCCTTATTTGGAATCAAAGGCAATGTTGGTATCTTTCCATATTGGGGAATCCTGCAAAGTTGCTATGGCTTGAAGCCTTCATCTGTGATAATTGATTCCAAGTACTTGAAGCTTTTTACTCTTTCCTGCTTCTGTCCACTGACCGATATTTCTGCACTGATGCCATTGATGTTGTTAGTCATCAGTTTCTTTTTTCAGCGCTAATCTCCATACCGTATGTTGTGGAAGTTGTGTCGAGGCACTCAACTAAGTCATCAAGTACTTTGTCATCTCCTGCTAAACCATCAATATCATCTGCGAAGCGAAGGTTGGTGATTTTTCTTCCTCCGATGCAGTTAGTGCCCTTATGGTCATGCAAGGCATCCTCCATAATCCTTTCCAGGAAACTTTTGAAGAGTGTAGGTGGCAGTATACATCCCTGTCTGACTCCAACTGTTGTTCGAAACCAATCTCCTCTGCTGCCGTTGATAAGAACAGCACTGGTGGCTTTGCCATAGAGGTGTTCAACAACCTGCACCAGGTTTGAGCTGATGTACTTCCTCATAGTTGCCCATAAGGCTGCATGCCATACCCTATCAAAGGCCTTTTTTAACTCTATAAAGACGTGGCATACATTCTGCTGATACTCAATGCATTTGTCGCAAAGGAGTCTGAGATTTAAAATTTTTCTGTGGTGCTCCTTCTTGCTAGGAAACCTGCATGCACTTCAGCAATAATTGTTTCTTGAGGATTTAGTCTGTTGAGAATTATCTTCAGCATGAATTTGCTTGATTGATTGCTAAGACTGAGGGTTACTATAGTTTTGTCATAGCTGTAGCTCCAGGATTCATTTGTCTTCTTCATGCTTTTCCTGATCATGCTCTTTATATCTGCATTTTCTAGCTACTTTATGATCTCTTTTTCCGTTTTCAGTTTTCTTCTTTTGCCGCATATCTCAATGACATCTGTTGTGACTCAAAATGTCTTTGTTCGAAGATATTTGCCAATGATCTCCCTAGCTGTTATAGTCTCATCTGTGTCCACCTTGGTTGTTAAGGACTCGATGTCTGTTTCTAGAATTATCAAAGGTGCAAATTTACCACTTATCATTGCTTGGAAGGCTTCTGCTAATTTTGAATCTTTCAATTTTTCAAGGTCAATCTAATTAATGGTTGGTTAGGCTTTTTGATCATTTTCAGGTGTAGGCGAAACATTGTCATTAATAAATCATGGTCACTTCCAATATCTGCTCCTGGAAAACTTCGTGTTCTGGCGATATTCAGTCTTTTGCAGAATAGTTTCTAGACCAAGATGCAGTCAGTCTGGTTGTGATGTTGTGATGACTGTGCCAGGTCCATCTTCTAAATGCCTTGTGAGGGCCGAACGAATTGAATAACACAATATCGTTGTAGGCAACAAACTCCAAGAGCCTGCGTCCTCTTTCATTTGTTTCGATATTACAGAAGGGTACACATGTGCTTTGCCAGTTTGTATGTGAATCAACTCCCACATTTGCATTCCAGTCTTCTTGTACAAACAGTATGTCCTTTTTGGGTGAGTTCTTAATGAAATCTTGGAGTTGGTTGTAAAAATTATCCAATTCGTTATCATCATAGTTAGATGTGGGTGCATAGGCTTGTATTATTGTGTTGTTGAAGGGAGTCGTCATCAGGCAGATAGTTATGAGCCTGCATGAGACTGGGCAGCAACCAATAATGATGTTCACAATGCCCTTGTGATCAAGAAATCTAACACCATGATTGTGTTTTTCCCCTCTTCCGCTGAAGTAGAGCTTATGCCATTCATCTGTTGTTATTTGGCCTAAGTTTTTCCATCACACTTCGTAGAGACCAATACTGTTCCTATTGTACATCTCCAACTTATGTGTAAGTTCTTTCAATTTTCCCATGGCCCTCAGTGTTCTAACGTTCCATGTACCGATGATGATGTTGTCCCTCTCACGAATCTTGGTAGTGGAGGCACAATAGCATATTTGTCGCCTCCGTCCTAGTGTGCAGCGGAAGGAGCGGTCATTGTTGACTCAGGCTGGGACCAATCCTGTATGGATTAATTGTTAGTTATCTTCATGTGGTGTGTTAAGACAAGATACAGCTTGGCGAAGGCCATCTCTCATCTGGATGACCACAGCCGAAATCCACTGATATAGTGTGGCACGCCCTGGCTTTGAGCACGTGGTCGTTAAACTCATCTTGGAGACATTCGGACCTGGCCGCTGACTTCATCGAGGAAGTCTTCCGCCCAGTGATGCTGTGCTATCATCACACAATTTAATCATAGTTGGGAGACTCGTGGGGGCGGAAGCGTTTTATCCATCCCATACGGATCCAATAGATCTGTACCACTGCCCTGATGAATTAATGAGTAAGTGAGCAAAATATTGGTCTAATGTGACCATTTTGTAGCTATCGTATTAAAAATTATAAGTTTGTCTGGTTTCAGTAATGCCCGACTACCACTGTTATCTGGTTTCAGTTATGTCCGACTACAAATGTCTGGCTTCAAGAATGCCAGACTACCAGTGTAGGGGTGGGTGGTGCGTGAATTTTATATAGTTCTGTCCCCCTGTACATCCATTAATAATATAGTATATTTCTTCCCGTACGTTTGAAGACAGATACTTGAAACTTAATGATATGATCTGGCTTGATTTGTAGATAAGCAGAGCGGTTTTAATAATTTTGACGCTGTTGATATCCCCACCCTTTGGACAACTGTTGGCTTCAAAAACATGAGGATACCAAAATAATAAGACATACATACAAGATACACAATGGATCGTGCTTCTATGGTAGGAAACTTAACTCTGGGTAATGACTGTTAAGATCCCACCCTATAACAATGTATACATTTAAAAAGCATACTGGTATAAATTCGTATCTGCATTTAGCATAGGCTAAGGGTTATTCCTCTCCCCTGGATCAGATCTTAAAAATCGCAAAGACCCGACTCCCAAGTATTCACAAATACACTTACCTAACATGAGATAAAAACTGCTTTACAACAATGGCATCTGGATCGAGCCATATCCATAAATGGCATACCTTTGAAATGCGAAGACATGCAATGACGATCTACTTTATTCGATGGTTGTTGTTGTGGGTGGGAGGGTGAGAGGGTGGAATACAATGCAAACCAATAACGCATTATACGTTTATACCTTAGTTTAAATACAACAGTACCATTACTTGACATGTTACGTTGGATGGGTCTAAGCAAGATCAAATTTTGAAGAAAAAAAATAAATGCACTTAACTATAATTCTATTTGTTACTATTTTTGTTATTTTTCGCAAACATTAGTAACCTATGTATTATTTTCAAGTATATTCTGATATATTTGATCTTTATAAATTACATTGGGGTTTAGGGAGGAGTCGTTTCTTATCAGATTGTTTTCCTAATGGAATGTGTGATTTTAGGGTTTTAATAATTTTATAGGGTTTCAATAATTTTATATCTAGTTGCAATATTTGGTTTTAAAAAGTTTAATTTTTTTAATTAGTTAATAACTACATAGTGTAGGAGCACATTGTCTTTCATTGGTATGTGACTGCTAATATAAACCGTGTT